GCAGAGAATTTGTACTGAAAATGTATCAGAGAGGTGGGTGTATCGCGCTATGCAACCACCATGAAATTAAACCTCATTATTCCTACTGATGCAGTTAATGAACTTATTTATTTTGTTTTTTTGTTTTTTTTTGTTTCGCACAATTCTGTATATAAAACGTGAGCGATTGCGGTTAGAAACATCAGAGCTCTTCACGAGCTTGACTTCTCTGTAGATTTGTAAGTATTTTTTTTATTATTATTAAGGATGGGTTCCCTTATTTTCATTTATGAAATTTGAATAGAAAGTAAAGATGTTCATTATGACTTGGAAAAATACCAGTTTGTCCGATCAAGACAGGTCAAAAAGTCTTTTTTTGTTTATCCAGACTGTACATACATGGACATTTATGATTGGTTAAAACTCATTATTATATGCAATAAGAACATAATGATATGATTAAGAATACATGATAATTCATTAGAAACACCAATTAATCAAATAGTTTGCTTAATTTGACCCTAAAAAATTAAGGAAAACCATCTTTAAGCGTAGTTTTTGTCGTGTTGAAAAGTCGTGTTGAAAGGTACGAACCGACAGCTAGTCGAAATTTATCCAGTCTGTTTCAGAAGCCACGTAAGAGTAAGAAAAGGTCTAGCTAGTCAAAGAAGAGAGTTAGGTTTCTACCAAGCCGACATATGCCAAATATGTTTCATTAGATGCCCAGCAAGAGTACTGCGTGGGTGACCGCTTGAAACCTCGTATAATGATATATGACGTGGAATTACTTTTCGAGAAAAACGCAAAAAACTATTAGTACGCGTATTTTGTTAAAATCTTTTTTATTATTTTTTTTACCGCTATACGTGGTTTTCATTCTTTGAAAATATACACCTCGTATAACAATTTAAAATCTCCGGCCCATTGAACCAAAAACTCGTATAATAATAATTTTCATCCGCAGAAAAGGAACATTGAACCTCGTATAATAATATATTTTACGAGGTTTTATATCTGACTGTTTAAATACGTGTTATTTAAGTAGTGCTTTTTGAGTTATTTACAATTAAGCTAAGAATACAAGCTTTTGATCACAAGATCCGCGCTTTTACGAGCTTTCGAACGGTACCAAAAAGTCAAAATGACATAAATATGGCATATACGAGGTGTCAAGCGGTCACCCACTTAAATTGGGGGATGAATCGAGAAAAGTGTAAAATAGTTATGTAGGGCTAAATTACAATCAACAAATTTGATAATGACGAATGTCAACATTGTTTGAAATATTTTAAACCACCCCCGTGACATCATTATAAAAATTTCAAAATTAAGACATAAAGAAAATGTATATTCTATTAAACTGTTTTATAACATCTGGGGAGACTGCACCATATATTCAACAAATCCTGAAAGTTTCATGTCTCACAGAGTCTCAGGATATTTTTCATAGCTCAATAAAGTTCAAGATTTGTATAAAAATCAAATCAAAATGCGCATCTTTAAAAGCTGAAATATGGAGTTTTGGCACTTTCTGAAAGTGGGAACATGGATTTTTAGTTAGCTATAACCCTAGGAATAGATTCCATGTGAAAAAAAGTAATCTCCAGGTTGCGCTACAAAATGTCATTTTTAAAGCACATTTGAGAGGCACAGTCCATGGCCTATATGCATTGTATAAATTACCAAGTTATTGTGAGTACACAAGTTATTGTGTAACAAATGATTACCTATTTGATATTTTGAACATTTCAGGAATAACACAACTAACGTTTCGCGATGGTTAACGTTATTTTTGTCTGCATTGGCGTATTGCTAGTATGGGGCACCGTACAGTCAACGGACACATGCGTGAAATCTGGTATTACTGATAACCAATTATCGAAGGCCTTTTATAGGGCGGATCCGGATATAAAAACCGGCTACTTGGATGTGAGTGTTGGTTGGTTTTCCGTTTCTGCAGTAGGCTCAGGAGTGACTTTGAGCTACAATAATTGGTTAAACCAGGAACACGATGCCCGATCCGAGATGATCAACCTGTGGTCCCATTTAACCTACATGGTCGTATCAAACTCTTTCGAGCTATACGCCCATTATGAGTATTATATGCTGTATTCTTATGGAATATCTCATTCACTTGTGGATTATAGAACTGTTCAAGAATTATTTGATACCGCTTGCTTCAATTGGAACAGTGTGGAGAACACGTGGCCATATGGTTGCTTCGATGCCGACTTCTTCTGCCACATGAGTTCCGCTTTAGAGAAGCAGGAGAATATTGTAATTGATTCACATTGGGACATGAGAAGGTATCCACCAAAGCTGGTAGAGGAAATGAAAACTTTTAAAAAAGATGTCGAAGAATATTCCGTACTTGGTGTAGATAGATATTACAGAACAGCAACTCTGAAATTGTATTTCGAACCAGAAATCCTTAAATTCATTCCAGAATCTACCCAAGAAGACGTATTTTATCGTTCCAAATTAACCTGGATGTTTATTGCCAAGGCTTTAGAAGGAGATTTGAATGGATTCTCGTACGACCTTTCTGAAATCGAATCGAGTGGCTGTACCTCGCTTGCAGGCCAACCAATCGCAACCAATTACTTTTGCAAAATCGAAGAATTTAAAGACAAGGTCAGTGCCTGCGCTGCGTTGTCAGACGTTACCCCTTGCATATACGACAAAAATGTGCAATCATATTTGACTCGCGGGAGATTCCGAGACATGGAAGAGCTGGAGCTTTTACACGATATGGTTAGTAAAACTCAAGATATTTTGACGGAGTTCAAAGATAAGGTTTTGGCAAACGATCGTGATGGCCTGAACTCGCTGTACAATAAATTTAACCCTCACGTTACTGTAGATGATTCAATGTGCGTCAGAGACTGGCCTAATGCCTTCGACTGTACCAATAATATCGCATGTGTCCCTCACAATGCTCCTCATAAATTTGACTGTAATGGTGAATATACCTGTAGAATCAACATGATGTACAGATTTGACTGTTTGCTGAAGTTCGTTCTTAAACAGACAAAACAGCTCGTGGACGTTGCAGCCAGTGGAAACTGGGGGAGATCTGAAGTTATCAAAGCTAAGAATGACTTAATGATATGGCTATCATATATACCAATGGCTCGCTACACAAGTTTAGCTGGCAACGAAATCAACGATGTCATCATAGATACACAGAACACAATCAAAGGATACGTTACCAGCTACGACACTCAGGGACTTGACACTTTCGTCTCCAATTTGCCCCACATGAGCTTTGTTCCTCAATGGGCCAAGGATGTCGCTTGTCAGCAAGTATCCGTTTCTTCAGAGTATACCATATTCTGCAACCTGGATCCTCTGTTAAATAGTGTTTTCCTTTTCATCCAGGCCTTTGAAAATAGCAAGCAGTCGACGACGAAGATTCTGAACCCAACTATAAACTATCGAACCCTTCTAGATCAGCTCCAACTTGATAGAGCAGCCCATCTGATCAATGTACAGACAGAAACAATCTCCAACCAGTTCAGAGATGAGGTACAAACAAACTTTCAAGAGCTGTCCAGCTATTTTTCATCTCTAGCGGACTACGATAAAACCAAGGCCGATGCAGATATTGCTTACATTGATGGTCAACTTGAGGTATTCAAGGCCAAAATTACATCTGTTTCTAATTCAGTTGAACATAAGTTCACTACAATCCTTAACTTGGCCATTGGAAGCAATGTAGCGGAGTTGCTTCAGAAAACTGTTAAGGTTGGAGTGGCATTGGTATCAATGGCAAATCCGATTGGTAAGATTATTGGTGATTCAAGTGTCCTTGATTTCATGGACGCACTAAATGACTTAGCCCAAGCAGGAGTGACGACAGCAGTTATTGCTCGGTTGAGCGACCAAGAGTTTCCAGATCTAATACAGCAAGCAATTGATCTAGGAACAAAATTTGCCGATAATGAAGGTCAGTTGGGGGATGCAAGAATATTTATTGATAAAATGAAAGATGGGGAAGACGCCGTAGAGACAGCAAACGATTTTCTCGGAAAATACAACGATTACACGCCTAAAGTCTTATTGGCTGATATTACTTCTTTTGGGGCAAAATGGGAGACAGTCGCTGAAGACCTCTGTGAAGCCGCCTTTTCGGCCGAATCAGCCGGAAGTGCATTGATAGAAATCGGTTTAGCTAGTACTGGTGACTGTGTTAATGTCGGAAATGAGATTGAAGAATTGATAACCTACTATGAAGAGCTTTACGAGTACCAATTTGATTTCATGGACTCTTTGTCAGACGCTGCTAGAGCCTACCTCGCCTACAAGAAAGCCAACGACCTTAAGTCTGCCTACACCAATACCGATAGCTTGAACCAAGCTTTCTTGAAACAAACCGCTGTAAATGCATTTATGGTATCAACACTGAATGTTTGGGAAGTTGTTACTGAATACTGCGATGCTCTTACCTACACAAGAGGCGGAGAAATACCTGATAAATGTGAAACAGCTTTGAGGGCTCCGTCCCACGACGCCGTAGCACAAGTCATGAGCTACACACCGGACCCTCTCTGTCATACCAACAATGAAATTACCGACTTCCGAGACATTCCCACGACACCGACCAATGCTAATGATCAAGGTTACATAGATCTTAATGCTCTTTACGCTCGAGAAACCGTTACATTCAGGATACCCAATTTTCAATGGTTGAGAGACAATGGTTGGTTTGGTCCACATGACCTTGAGAAGGCCGTATACATTAAACGCTTTGAGGTATTCCTTCCGCCATTGTCTGGTCAAGAAGAGCATTTAGTAGAAGTTGAAGCTCAACCTGGTATGGCCAACTACCTTCGACCTGATGGAACCAAGTATCTACTTCCTGTTACTGGTTACACAGCTCGATACACCGAGAATGGTTTTAACTGCTATAATACTAGACTTGACAATCCTTTTGCTTTGTGCAACGATGATGATTTGGTTGAACTTTGCGTCACATCTAATGGTTATGTAAATAGAACCATACAACCCTCGATATATACTGAATGGAAGATAAAGGCTACTTCTTTACCAAATGGTCAAACCGCTCCGCAACCAGCAACAAACTTCAAAATCCA